GCCATTTGAAATATTTATGTTTATTATTATAACAAAATTTTATAATACTGATCATTTATAATTTTAATCCTTTTTGAAATGATCATTATTATTTTATTATTAATATAGTATTTATAATAAAATATAATAATTATTGTTGTAGTAGTTAAGTTTATTTTAATAAAATATAACATTAATATAACTGTAATAATGATAATTTCAAAATTCACATCGACAAACTGTTGAATCAAGTTTTGAAAATCAACTTTATTATTTCACTGATGTCTATTTATTATTATTAATAATAATGTTCATTATTATAATAAAAATGTAATAATTGTAATATTTATAATTTCAAAAAGACTGAATTTTTTTTTTTTTTCGAATGATCTGACTGATGCAAACTAAATTTTCACAGGTAAAGACAAAGTCACTGAGCCCAGAAGCAGCCGCAGCACTGAGAGAACGCACAGGGTTCCAGGGAAACACACTTTTAAGGGTGCGATTGTCAGCATCGAAACCTAACTTTGAGGTCGGATCCTCGACGCAACTGAAACTTTCCTTTGGCAAGAAAACCACTACAACAGGTCTGTGGTATTTCAGCACTGACACATTAAATGTAACGTAAGTTCATAAGTTTTCATCTCACAGTTCTGACCTTTTCCCCCACAGTTCTGAGTTTACTGTATATTGCATCATGTCACTTTAATCTAAAGAATTAAGTAAAAAAAAAGTTACTTTTTTTATTCCGTGGTGGGATTCCGTGCAAGATGTAAACTCACAATTATGAGAAAAAGTCAAATGTGAGATGTAAACTTACAGTTAGGAGTTTGTAACTTCCAGTTTCACTAATTGTGAGATTAAAGGTCACAATTACCTTTATTTTATTTTGTGGCAAAAACAATCTTTCATACATGCTGACACATCAAATAAAAATGGACAAATCAATAAGTCCACAACACTTGTTTTCTGCAGAGAAACCAGCTCTTGATCCAAGCACCGCACAAAAGTGGACTCTATCAGCCAATGATATGGACGATGATGATGTGGTATGTAAAGATTGGCTTTGGCATCTGCCAATCTTGTGGCTTTTGTGTATCACCCACCACATTGTTCTACTCCGCTCTCTAGGATTTGGTAGATTCAGATGCACTTTTGGATGCTGATGATCTGAAAAAGCCTGACCCTTCCTCCCTCAAGGCTTCCTGTGGAGAAGACTCCAAAAAGAAAAAGGCCTGCAAAAATTGGTGATTACCTTAAATTAAAGAACATATAAAGGTGTAAACAATGTATCCATCTAACTAACGTCAATGTTCTTGGTCGTAGCACTTGTGGTCTTGCTGAGGAAATGGAAATGGAGAGTAATGCCACTCAGAAAGCCAGCCAGCCCAAATCAGCCTGTGGAAGTGTATGTATTTCTATGATCAAATTATTACTGTATTTGTTTAAATTATGACTTTAAGGTTTTGTATAAATTCCTCTTTAGTGTTATCTGGGTGATGCCTTCCGATGTGCCAGCTGTCCATATTTAGGCATGCCTGCCTTCAAACCTGGGGAGAAGGTTCTGTTGGCCAACACTGATATAGCTGATGCATAGACATTCACTTTTGACACATTAATACATTCCGTTATCATTCTGCAACATTGAGGCCCAGATTACATTTCCATCTGTGTAATCAACAGGGATGCAGTTCACAGAGTGTCATTTGACAATT